GATGTTGGGTGTGTGGTCCTGTGTTTTGTTGGTGTATAGTTAATATACTTCTAATCGCTATTTCAGTCTTTCTATCTTTCTAATTACTTCTCTCTCTGTTTTTCTCTCTGTCTCTATTTTCTCTTCACTTAAAAAAAGTCACTGATGATGAAGAAATAAATAAACTAAGTAAACTAACATTTGGTTTCATTTTCTACTGAAGCRACAAAAAAAACACATTGAACTTGGTCCCATTTCATTCTGCAAGTCCAATGCTGCAGGCAAAACCATGCTGCAGTGACATGCTACATGGCAATGCACACTTGTTTTTACATCGTAAAAACCAATGTCTAGTTTAGTTTTGATTTTTCATCACTTAATAAATCACATTTTTTCAAAAGCCCACCTAAAACTAAAGAAAAAAAGCTCTGAGAACAAAATATCTAATGAACCACTGAATGGATCTGATCAGAATGTAATGGTTGGATGTGCCTCTGTTCTACAATTTATGAAGTTTTGGATCAAGCCCAAGTCAAGACAGTCATCCCATCCAACCAACGTAAAGGAAGATAAAACAGGTCTAGAACTCAGTCACCTGGTCGTAGATGAGAATCATCTACAACACACACTCCAGGTGCTAACAGACAGCACAACATGCTAATTTCATTCATGTTTTTCTCAGCACAAGAGTTTAAAGCTCCAGCATGAAACATGGCAGGAGACATGCATTCCTCAGAGGAACGGTGGTCCTGAACGTTCAGTGTGTAAACACACCGACACAGAGGGGTGTGGACCACCATCAGCTGCTTTCTGACAGAACTCTAAGAACTCATGAGCTGCTGGCTTCAAGGCAATGGATGGACCTCTGCACACTGAGATGAGGTGGACTGAAATGAGCCCCCTGGAGACAGGTGGGTCAGAACTCAATGTATGCTTGGAGAGAGAGGGGCGGGCGGGGGGCACAAAGCTGTCAGAGCATGGGGTGGGTGTTGAATGCTGATGCAAAGAAACAATACTGACATGCACACTTCTAGAGATATATTTGTAGGGAGTATATTCACCATATTTTGTACTGTGTGGTTTGCACTTCTTACAGCTATAGCCTCGTATTGAGCCTTTCCTGTCAGCAGACTAACGGTTTGCTGGTTGGCCCTCTGCCTTGGAAGAAAAGTGGGAGAGAAACTTGGCAAAGAGAGTCAAGAAGCACTGAGGGGAGGAGGAGGGTCAAAGCTGCACAAACAAGTCACTTCAGATTTACAAGACTAACTGTAAAAAGGCCTTCTTTAAAGAAATACTGTGGGATTTCTCTCTCTCACACACACACACACACACACACACACACACACACACACACACACACACACACACACACACACA